ATTTTTTTTAGTTACTGTAAAGGATTAATATCAGAATTATATACCATGTATCCTACAATACGGCTTGTTGGGAACATAATTATTAAGTGAAACTTGCTAATTTGGGAAACATAATAATTGAAAAAAAGAAAGTAAAGTGTGTCTATCCTACACAAATTATACTTAATTTTTAATAGAAGGATCAACCATCGTAATATTGGAAGCCTCACTTTCTCTATTAATAATTAACTGTTTTACAATTTGCATAATATAAATTGTAAATCGGCATTATGTAATTATTAATATAAGGAGCATAATCATATCCACGTATCCTACGAAAATCGTGCATAGAAATTTTGGGCACCACAACAAACTCACTCCGTCAATGCATCTATGAGAATCCGACGTATATCCTAATGTACTCAATTGCGGCACCTAGTCAGCCATGGCAGGCCGCACGCTCACTTTGACATTTTACATTTCAATTGGACCGAGGAGCACCCAGCTTCAACACCAGAATTTCAAGCTATCAGTTTTGCGGTCGTGATTATTCCCACTATTGAATTTGTTGTCGTGAGTCATGACATAAATTGTTAAATTTTTACATTAAATTTGTTATTAACAATAATTAATAATTAATAAAATAATTAATATTTATTATTTGATACCTAAAAATTCATTTATAAATAATTTTTTTAAAATATCACAATTAATTATTTTGAAAAAATAATTAACCAATAAAATAACAGTTAACATATGTGCCCTAACAAATACTCTTAGCTCGTTTCAAAAGATTGACCCTATCAAATCTGCACAAATTCGTAAAATTAGATCAATTTGGAGACCTAGCTGACCCGGTTAACCTGAGTTGGTTGGTATCAAAAATTTTTTTATTATTTTTTTACATTTTATGAATTTCATCTTTTAAAATTATATATATTTAATTCAATTTAACTTCTTAAGTTGCTTTGAAGGTAATTTATAAATTATTTTTAAAGTAATTATGTCTTGAAAATAAATAATGTTTATATATAACAATAAAATATACAAAAATTTTAAAAAGTGAAATTTTTAATTGACTAAGTAAACAAGCCAATTGAATCGATTGATCCAGAGTCGACATATTAGATTTGCAGGGGTCCACGATATAAGTTTACTTTATTCTTACCATACTTTGCACGTTTTCCAATGTGAAACGTCGTGCCTACTTGTGGATTTATTACCAAAGTAAAAGTTTTCAGGTGTGTATGTCAAGCCATAGCTAAGTTGGATTTGGTGTCATCCCAGGAACAATTACAATATAAAAGGCCAGCAGAGGCAGCACCAGCCATGTCCAAATATTAGTAACTAATCATCAGCGTATTCTTCTTCATTCCTAGCTAGATGGCTGCTGATTTAGTAATTAAGTTATTATTGTTGGGCGTAATCCATTTGGTTTCCATCCAAGGAATTCAAGGTTGCTTTGAAGAGGAGAGGAAGGCTCTTCTAGAATTCAAGGCTTTTGTTAAATCAGACGGACAAGATGCAGACCATCTTCTTCCTTCATGGGTTAATGACCCAGGGGATGACTGTTGCAAATGGGAGAGAGTCGACTGTGACTCCACCACAGGCCATGTGATCAAGCTCTCCCTCAGCAATACCAGGCAGTTTGATGTACTTCCTTTTAGCATATATGATCCCAAAAATAGTTGGCATTTAAACATCTCCTTGTTTCAGCCATTTAAGGAGCTAAGAAGGCTCAATTTATCCTTCAATGTAATTGCTGGGTGGATACAGAACAAAGGTATGCTTTAGTAAGTAAGACTCCTCAAAGGCTCAAACAATGTTTAATTTGCCCCCGAGAATTTGATACTGTCTGTGTCGGGATGACCTTATAATTACCTGTACAGTACATGCAAGTGGACTTACAGTGGTGTTTGTCAACTCTTTTTTGCAGAATTATCTGTTCTTGAGAACTTAGAAGAGTTGGATTTAGGATCCAACAGACTGAATGGCTCGTCAGCAGCACAAGGTATGTGAATCAATAACGCTAATTCTTTCACTTCACAATCTACAAATTAAGTTAAGGTCATGTTTCATTCAATAAATAACTACATTCAATAAATAACTACATTCGCTTACAATTAGTTGTATTTGTGCATTCATTCAAAAACATGACCTACAATGTTAAACCATTGACGTTGTTTTATTGAATAATGTAGTGTAATTGTATTTCTCTCTCTAATATATAATCCCTTTAATTAGATGTAACAAGTTTGTCCAAGCTGAGCAAGTTGAAGTACCTATATTTGAAGGATAATATTTTGAATAAAGATATTATCAGAATTTTGGGCACACTTCCATCTCTTAAATTACTCGACCTTTCAAAAAATCAGTTAGAAGGATCCCTTTCCAATAAAGGTACATCTCTCGTATCAATTTAATTTTTATTGTTAAATTTTGAAATGATATACCTCTTCTTTTTATCTCTAATTCCATATGCATAATGTGTACAAGAATTTGGTAACTTGAGCAATGTGGAGGTGCTTATTTTGAGTCAAAATAGCCTCAGTGGAAACTTGCCAATTCAAGGTATTAAGTAAACTCCTCCATTCCAATCCCAAAGTTTAATTGAACTTCTTTGATCCTCTGAAAATCCTGCTTGACACTTTCATACTCATTCATCTATTAATAGGTTTTACAACACTGAAGATATTAGATTTGAGTAAGAATCAATTCAGTGGGGGTATTCCTTCATCTATTGGGGCACTGCATTCTCTAAAAGCATTGTCTTTGTCTTCTAATCATCAACTTAATGGCTCCTTACCAAATCCTGGTATGTGATGTAAGATATTGATTTATTTTTAATTTTCCCTTCCATATACATGCAATGACAAGATTGAACAAGAGATTTGAACATGAAATGTAACCTTAACCTACGCCTTAATTATTGGGTTTGCTTCCCACCTTGTTGGCTATAGTATTCTATTTCTGAGAAATAAGGAAGAAGTAATTTCTCCTAATTAACTTGAAGGTATATTTGAATCTTTGATCGGACTATAGGGATAAATGCTAGTGCCACGACTAGTTCTTGACTTTTGCTTCTATTATTTCATTTTTAAAACCTCACAATTTGGGCTTTCAACTTCGTTGTTACTATTGTGTAGTTGATCTATTTGAGTAAAATTTTTAGGATAATGATTAATATATCTTTTGGTTGAACACATTTCAAAATATATTTATTAAGAAATTTTTTTTTTTCAAATTTGAATTAAAGATGGAAAAATTAAAAGTTACAAAATTTAATAGCTAAATCAATAATTATTGTGAGGTATGTTGAATCTAATGTTGTATAAATTATTTTCTAAATTTTTAACTAGAGTATAGATTTTGTAGTAGTAATTTATATCCTTTGTGGCAGGTCTGTGTCGATTAAAAAGGCTTCAAGAATTGGATTTGAGCCAAAATAGTTTTGAAGGGACACTTCCTCCATGCCTAAACAATTTGACATCTCTTAAACTCTTAGATATGTCTTACAACCACTTCACTGAAAATGTTTCCTCAGATTTGATACGAAGCCTCCCATCATCCCTTGAATTCATGGATCTTCGTCACAACAATTTTCAGGGCTTATTCTCATTTAGCTATATTGAAAATCATTCCAAGCTTGAGGTATTCATGCTTACAGGCAACAAAGATAGACTACAAATTGATGCTCAGAGTCTTGGTTGGATCAATCCATTGTTTCAATTGAAGGCATTGATACTCTCTAATTTGAGTCTAAACAGTATTCCAAAGTTTCTTTTCTACCAACAAAGGTTGAGAGTAATTGATCTCTCTTACAATAAGTTGAAAGAAGAGTTCCCTATTTGGTTGCTGCAAAACAATTCTGACCTCAAATTTATGAATCTCAGGAATAACTCTTTTGCTGGTCAATTCATCCATTTGCCATCATATCAAATGCAAAATATGGTTTGGTTGGATCTCTCAAAAAATAATTTTATTGGGAAGTTACCTGAGGATTTTGGAGACAAACTTCCTAGTTTACGGTATCTTAATTTGTCTGGGAATCAATTTGAAGGTGCTCTACCAAGTAGTCTAGGGAACATGCGTGATTTGTCCAAGTTGGATTTGGCATTCAATAATTTCCTAGGAGAAGTTCCTAAAGAATTGCTTGTAGGGTGTAGTGGTTTGCAACAACTGATATTATCGCACAACAAACTTGGTGGCGAAATCTTTTCATTTGAATTCAAATTTAGTAATTTGAGGCAGCTGGAGTTGAGCAATAATGAATTCACTGGAAACCTATCAAATGTGAAGATTGAGACATTGACCATATTCGATGTTAGCAACAACAACATGACAGGTCCAATTCCCACTTGGATTAATACAGTGAGTTGGAAAATTTCAATAAGGAATAACTCTTTTGAGGGCCAATTTCCATGCCAACAACTTATGTCTCCGTTGTTTTTTCTTGACCTCTCTCAAAATTTTCTTTCTGGTCCTCTACCCTCCTGCATTGATTTCACCACAATTGGGGAGATTCATTTAGAAGGGAACAAGTTCACGGGGTTGTTACAAGAGTTTCTTCCAAATTTCCCAACTAATCTTTCCGTGTTGAATCTCAAAGATAACAATTTGTCCGGTTTTATTCCAGACCTCAATGGTACGTTTTTGAATCTGAAACATCTTCTATTGGGAAAAAATCATTTAAAAGGTTTGATCCCAGAGACATTGTGTTTATTGAAAAATATAGCCATAATGGATTTTTCTAGCAATTCTTTGTCTGGAACAATACCGCCTTGTTTCCAAAATTTAACCTTTGGGGTGATGGAGAACTACGGTGAATCTCTTGCACAACATTCAATCCCATTTGACATCCAGTTTACTGATCAAGATCACATATATGGGGATCTCCTGAAGAAGAATCTGAACCTCTTCATAGATGTCGAGACTATAGGACTCAATGAGATTCATTTGGTAAATAAAAACAAGGGGGGCTCTTACAAGGGTAGCATACTAAATTTCATATCTGCTCTCGACGTCTCCTGCAATAATCTGACTGGAGAAATCCCTCAAGAGCTCGGAACGTTCTCTCAGGTTCATGCTTTAAACTTATCTCATAATCGGATGACAGGTCCCATTCCAGTTACTTTGTCGAAGCTATCCCAGATTGAAAGCTTGGACCTTTGCTGCAACAATCTGACTGGAAAACTCCCTCCAGAGTTGACCAACCTGCACTTCTTGGAAGTCTTCAATGTCTCATACAACAATTTATCTGGAGAGACTCCAATGATGATAACGCAGTTTTCAACATTCGACGAGAGCAGCTATAAGGGAAACCGGTTTCTTTGCGGGCCGCCTTTGGAGAAAAACTGCGGCAATGATATTGAGACACCGTGGTTAAAATCAGATGCAACTAAAGGGAAATGGTATGACATTGATCTTATTGATTTTCTTGTATGTTTTGTGCCAGCATATTTGGTTTTCTTTCTGTTGATGGTATCCCTTCTCTACATCAACCCTCATTGGTTAAGAAGGTCACTTTATTTCATCGATCATTATTATTCCAAGCTAATAGTTGCTTTCTGGATCTAGTAGTATTTGAGATTTAAAGTTCTTGTACGATCACTATGTAAAAACTAGTCTATAGCACCCTGTTATGTGGGGGTGTTCTTTCGTGCAATTAAGTTCAAAGTCTAAAAGGTTTTATCTATGCTTTATGAAGAAAGATGAGAACTTAAACTTAAAAAGGCTAATTGATCTGAATTGTGCTAAGAAAAATTAATCAGAAAAATAAAATTCTGCGAATCCTGACCCCAGATTGATCAAATTTAACAAATCAACTACGAGCAGAAAATCGATCCAATTTTCACAAATAAAGAACATGGAATTGATGCATATATCTCAAGAAAATGGAATAAAATATAAATGGAACACAATGGATTATGGGTACATGGAATTGGTACAGAAGGGGCACTCTAGCAACTCGTGGATGCTAGAGGCCAGAGCAATCGTCGTCTACCCTTGATGTTGTTGGCGGCGTTGCTGTTCTGCCAATTTCTGCCTGACATGTCGAGATTGTTTGACGGAGAAAGAGGGAGAAAGTGGGAGAAAGTGGGAGAAAGTGTTGGAATTTAAATATTTTAATAAGAAAATAAAATAATAAATTTTATAAATTAAATTTATTGTTTCATTAGGGATTTGACCAAACTAATCATTGTAAGTTAATTGTCCTATTTAAGAGCACATTATCTCATAATAATTACTTAATTTGTTTCAATCATTAACTTATAAATGGAAGTTACGTGACAATGAGTTGACATGTCTATTTGTTCAAAAAAAGAGGTGTTGCTCAACATTCTTCTATTTTCTTATCTTATTTTATCTTCTAAGTATTCTTAGGTAAAAAAGAGTATTTTGAGTTATGTGATTTTATGAGTAGTGAAGATTCATAAAGTGTTATTATAAAACTATAGTATTCTGGGGTAACATGCTATATATATTTCTGTTGCACCGATTGTTCTACACTCTGTAAAGACGTGAATCGCTTTAAAGTAAATAAGTTTTTCACATTTATTTTGATGATAATTTCTTATTAATATTTTTTGATAAGTTCACTAATTATTATTTTATTTGAATTTGTGACCGAAATACAATAATAACATGATATGGAATGCAAAAGAATGTTCGAGTGACAACAAAAAGTCATGAGAACGTTGTGAAAATTAGGAAATTATTGGGAATTGGCGTACAAAATCATTTTTTAAAATATTAATTTGGTCCCTCAACTTTCATTATTATCAAAATTATCCTTAACTTTGAAAAGTACTAAAATTATCTGTTATTTTAAAATAATCCCTTTCTTAATGAAAGTGCCATGTGATTTGTTATATTACCAAAAAATCAATTCTTTTTAAAAATGTTAATGACATGTAAAATCAAATACTTATATTTTACTATCATGGCATCAAATTTGAATGACCAAATTAGTACTTGTAATTAAAGTTTAAAGACAAAGTTGATACTTGTTTTCAAAGTTTAAGGACTAAATTAGTTTTGATGTGTTAATAGAAATATATTATGGTAATAAAATATAACTGTTTGATTTTATATATCATTAATATTTTAAAAAAGAATTGATTTTGTGGCAAAATAATAAATCACGTGGCACTTTCATTGATGAAAGGATTATTTTTAAAGTTTAAAAATAATTTTAATACAAATCTAAAAATTGAGGGACCAAATTTATATTTTAATTTGATTTTTAAACCATTCCCCCTAAAAAAAAAAAAAACAAAGCTCTTGCTACCCCAGCATAGGAAAGTTACG